AGTTTTGACGTTTACGCGCGCCCCCCTGACCCGCGGTTATCTACGGCTCTGCACGGGGGTCCGTGCACGTCATTTGGCTTCGGGCGCAACTGCCATCGGCGCGCGATTTCGCAACCGCCTACGGGTTGAAATTTAAATTTTTTCCCCCTATCCACGTTTTTCGAGAGCGATCTCGCGTTTCTCGCCGACCCCGCCGTGCAATAATGTAATCTGCGGTATCCGCGAATACCGTATAATATATACGGTATCGTGTGTGACGAAAATCCGACCCCGACCCCGGGAAAAGAAACCCCCGGACTGCGATATTACTCACGACGAACTTAACGCCGATTTCTATTATAATTTTCAACCGCAAATAATATTATTTCGTTCATTTTAATGCATACATATCGACGTATTACGATAATAACCTATCCATCGTAACGGACTCGCGAGAACAACGTGCCCGCTCGCTTAAATAAATATTAGCAATGGTTTTCAGTGATCCACGATATTATTAGGTCCCACTACACATTTAGTACACGATACGCTAATGCGGAACGACAACGCTACGGACATTTTAAAAACTAATAGTAAAAATCCCGAAATTGCGCGCAAAGGATTTGTTTATAATTTTCAAAAAATGTGCTCACACTTTATGCGTTGGCGATGTCCTAAATTTAGCTCTTTAAAATGCTCCAGTGTACTTAACACTAGTTATAATATCGAAAATCCAATATTCGTTGGTCTTGATCATAATCACGGTTACATAGTTGTAACGGGAATGCAGTCGCTGCTTTAAAATTGAAAATTCCAATTAACGAAAAAGCAAAGATATCCATCATGCAACACCTAGTAAAATATTTGCCGAATCTGTAAGTTATGTACCATATGAAGTTTTAGTTGAATTGCCAAAAAAATCGTATTTTTAATATTCGCATTATTATAGCATTACACTATGCACGCACGATTTTTGCAAGTAGGTACTTTTAACTTTAGTAATAAAAAAAAAATAAAAATAAAATACATATCCAAACACGGGCATATCAAATACCTATAAATAACTTAAAAATAGCTAGAATGTTTAGAAAAATTTTACTGCGTTTACAAAAGGCTAATATAAACATTCGGTGAACACAAGTTTTTTTTTTTTTTTTATTAAGAATATTATAAATGTCAGTTTTTCAACAAAATATTTCATTTCTTCGATTAATTTAATATTCTGTCTTATCGCACGGTACTTACACCGCTGCCATTTGCACAATAGGTACTTGCATGGAATAAATTTAAAACCTACTTAACAGTAAATCCGAACAATAGGAAAACAGTTGTGGAGGTATGGTATACAGGTGTTTAGGCATAGTCAATAATCATACGGAAAATGATAAAATAAAAATCTAGTTGCGAATTATAATAAAAAAAAAAAAAACAATAAATGTTCCCGATCGTTTAAATTCAATAAGTCACGACGATATTAGGAAACGGTGTAGTAATTGAATTTAATTTTTTTTTTTTCCTATGCGTTGTCCGACGTAGATTGTGGTGCGTGTCTGTAAAGATCATTATAAAATCGTATTGAATTTAATACCAGCGCGCAAGCCGTACGGGGAGTATACACATCTGGTCCGGTGGTCTGGGGATTTTTTTTTGTCCGGGGGATTTTCATTCCGGTTCATTCCGCAGGACTGTCATCGCAGTTTCTGTCCGCGACCCGTTGCCCGCCCCCGCGGTCCGGTCCGCGCGTCGCAACATTATCGTAACGTGTTCCACGTACGGTGTCGCGTTATGCGTTTTAAGAATTGTTTTTTTCTTTTCTCCCCATAATACCCGCGCCGAAAATAATCGCCCCCGCGCCCGTTATTGTTTTCTCCCCGGCCGGCCTGACCCTCGCGCGCGCGCCGGCCGGCGGTGTGTTTCGGTGTAGTGGTTCCCAAAAAAAAAAAAAAAAAAAAAAACAGAAAAAAAAGAAAAGAAACGTCCGTCCGCCCGCGACACACCACCGCCGCCATCCCAAGGACGAACGGACAATAATAACGCCGCGTAAATATTATACGTCATTGCGTTGCGTACGGCCGACCGTGTATACCGTGAGAACGTCGTCGCCGACGACGGCCGCGGCACATGCGCGCCCGGCCATTAACGAAACCCGTCGTCGTCGTCGTCGCGGCCGCCGTCTCATACGTACAAATCCGCGTTTCGAGTTTTCTCAGGCAGGCACCCGTTTCTCCGCTCCTCGTCGCCCCTCCCACCCCCCTCGTCCGCCCTCCACGGCCACCAACCCCCCCCCCCCCCNGTTATACGACCCCCGCCCACCTCGTCGGTCTACCCCGTGCGCGCGGCAGCGCGTTCAAAAGGACCGCGAAAGACCTTTGTGACCGGTTTGTGTGTGTGCCGGTAGAACGTATTTTATGCGCGCACCGTGCATTATATCGGTACCCCGTATTGTTGTACGCGCGCGCAAACGTGTTGAATTGAATCGTCAAAAACGTTTGGACGCCGGCCGTACTGCGCGCGATGCATTACAATACCGGCGGCATTGTGTCCGCCGTCTGTGCGGGGATTACAAACGGCCGAACGCGAAACGCTTTTTTTTTTTTTCCCTTCTTTCTATTCTCGATCAACCGCGTGCCCGCCCGTGTGATCTACATGTATATTTATATATATATATATTATAACACAGTCGGGTGGGGACGGGGAACATAAGGAGCAGTCGTATTTGTACGGCCCGGAGTTTCGGCGTACCCACGAGCGGGGTCATCACAGGTGCGTCGGTTTGTATTATTGATGGCATTCGAAAATCGGTTTTTATATCGGTCCGCGGTCGTGACACGGTGGTCGGAAACGAATATCGATAGATTGGCCGATTTTTCGCCGTTACGAGAAACCGGCCGGTCCGTCACGAAAATACGTCGCCAAACGATTATTATATGCGTTTTAGATTCCGAGCGTAGCGAGCCGTTTTTTTTTTTTTTTTTTGATTTTTGACGCAATTTTTTAAATAAAAGCACTCAATTGGGGGAAAAAACGCAGGAAAACGTACAATTTCACGATTTCATTATTTTATAAAAACGCGGACGACGTTTTCCATCGGAAGAAATGATTTATTCGAAATACTTTTGAGCCACTTTTGAGCTTTTAAGGAATTTTAATTTTCGAACGTTTTTTTGCCGTAATTCGTTTAGAAATACACGTAAAGACTTGAAACTTGGTAATAATGATTATATTGGATTTATCTAGATGTGGTAAAATTTTCAAAATCATCGAACGATTTTTTTTTAATAAGCATTTTGAAATCAAATTTAAACGAAAATCGCAAAACAATTACGGCACTTCAAATTATGTATTTCCGAACTTTCCGTCTTTCCTCAAGCAATGATTACAGATATAAATGAAATAACCTTATGTATCTTACCTACCCAACTTCCCATCTACAACAGTGGTCGCTCCCATCCCAAGTATCAGTTCTTTTGTTTTATTAATTTTGAAAATTCAATATATTTTTGAAAACTTTATTATATATAAAAAATATTAGCAACTGATACTGTTTATGAGTGCGCCACTGATTGGGTAGGGGAGTTTTAACAAAGGATATATCATTTAGATAGAGTCACTTAATTTATGTCGGTAAGCGACGATAAACCATCGCTAAAGATTCCCAACAGAGTATTATTAGTCGTACATGTTTTCCCTTGTTGCCAAGGTAACCCAAAAGTCGACACAAATTATACACCGACAGTTTTTCCCATTTATTAAAAAACCTACTATACAAATCAAAAAATGACCTCCTCGGTGCACCGAAAAGTTAAAAAATTCTACAAGAAAGTTCCATTAAAATGACGATCGGACTGCGGTTTCTTCCACACAAACACACACACACACACACACACACAAAATACATCATAGTAAAATCAATACACCCCTCGCTTCGTTTAAAATCTAAAAAAAAAACATATATAAATATATGGTATTTTGCAATGCATGTTTTAAAGTCAAACAAAATAACGCTCATCGATTTAATTAATTTAAAGGCAGTATACTTATTTTTGAGACAATTTAAATTGGTACGTCTGTTCTGTTTTTTTTTCTTTGTCTAAATCATAAAAATAAAATATATTATTTTTAATTAATGTAAATAAATATTCTTGAGTAAACAAGTGTTCAATATATCAATTTATCTACACATTTTTAATAATAAACTATATTAGTAGAATATAAAAAAATCGTTTAAATTTATAAATAATTTGTAAACAGAAAATTATTTAATAAAATAGTTAATTCATTTAATACATTATTTCATCACTATCGTTCAAAAAGTTCAATCTAAGTGAAATTTTAATTTTTTTGGTAAACGAAAATAATACGTACTATTTACAATGATCTGAAAAATCATAGAGTTATTCGATTTTAAAAATTGTTGTCACAAAATATCTGCGAAAATATAAATCATTTTAACCGTAATTAACCGGTGTTACCTATAATAATTCGATAATAATTTGGGAAAATTGTGAAAACTAAAGAAATATAAGCTGAAACACTCGGTCGAAATACAACAGTCTATAACGGCCGTCACTCGGTATATATTTTGAATGTTCGGTCGGTAGTTTTTTCTGCACTTGAAAAAAGATTATAATCAGGGACTATATTTACGAGGACCGTACGATCGTGCTCGGATTTGAATCTTGGTCGCTTTTTGCATTATGGCAACGGTATGTTTATGAAGGCAGGACTATATAAATAAAATACCTAGCCTTGAGTCATAGTTGACTCAAACGTTGAAACACACGACGACCGGTTTGTACAAATTGTTTTTAAAATTTTAATTTTGCAATAATATTTCGTAAATATATCTCGTATTATAAAAGAACACTCGAGTATTATACTTGAATATTCTTTATTACGTATTGGTATTATAGTGACTATCACCCCGTTACGCGGAGGAACTTTAGTAAAGCACAACGGATTAATGATAATAACTGATACAATATTATCAACAGTATTTCAATTGACAAATTGAAATTCGGACAAAAGTAATTGTATATCATGTTCAACGCGCACGACGACCGATTAGCTGAAAAACCTGCAGGTAGTAATCGACTTAATATTCCTGATAAAGGTACGCTAACGGGCTAAGTGATAAGGATTAAGGCCCTATGGCCTGTAACGCAATTATGGAATGAAAAGATTTCGGTATGAATTCGATCTAAAAATTGAGGACGGGAAGGCGTATTATGTTGGCCGATTTACACGATAAAATGCAACGTCAGTACATTTCCCACGCTGAACTTACGGGGCGCAAGACTTAAAGAGATTGCCGCTCATTATATAATACACGCTAAGCGATAAATTAATTTTTGATTTCGTTTCAAAGGAGAATCGTGTTACACTCGTATAGCACGTATACACTGTGAAAAAGGAACGGATTGACATTCTGTACTTAAAATCCGCACAAAAGCACTTGAAATCGTGAAATAAGTAAAAAAAAAAAAATCATTTTTGAAAAACATCATACGCATTATAAAGAAAATTACTATGCGTTATCATTTGTCGTGGTGTTAGAAAATTGTATTTTACAAGTTAAAGCCGTTAGACGGGGAACTTTTTTAGCGCTTATTTGAGGATTTTTAAGTGCATACACCGAAATCCGTTCCTCGATTACGAATAATTCATCTATGTGTTACTCGAATTTAACGATTTTTTTCTTTTCTAAATACCTTGATAGTAGTAGTCCCATTGCACCATATACACGATTCAATTTATATCTAATATTCTAATCTTATATTTGTCCCGAAAGTTCATCGTGATAAAAATAAAACATATGAACATAAGGTGCTATCATGCTATCATTCAGTTTCACTACCGTACTATAATACATGTGTACTACCTTGTTTAAACATAAAAAAAAAAAAAAATTGTTTCGTAAAAACAAATGAGTGACCTCTGCAGACTGTAGTATAGGTACTACAGTGTGGAAAATATTACAAAATATTATAACTTTGTCGTTCCCGAGAATATTTATAGGTATATATATATATATATATAAAGAATACGGTTTTGTGTGTATGCTTGCGAGTGTGTGATGTATACGTATAGTAGTAAGGTTTTTTTTTTTTTGTGTTTTATTTTAATCATAAAAAACCAGCAAAAACCGTAGGTAACCTACATACATACATGTTTGGTTGCATGTTAACTACGACTTCAACTGAAAGTTATAATAATTTTATAATACTCGTGTAATGTATATTTAATATTTATAATACAGTATAACGTTGATAAATTGCACGTATGTTTTATAATATTCTACTATATCGGATTGTTTTTTTTTTAATTTTCAATTTTTCAAAATTCATTTTTATACACACTGAAATTATTGTTCGAACAAAAATGTGATCTTTTTCGGGTACCTTTCGGATTTTTTGACAGGTGGTACTTTAGGTACTTTTTTTTTTTTTTTCATACTACTCGATGTCTGTTTTAAAAAATTATGAAAACCGAAAACAAACGACGATAAATCGGTTTTATTTTGGTTTATCTCTGGGTTGTCTTGGGGTTACAAAGGGGATACATAATCACCACTATAATATAACCTCGCCAGTTTACCATGTTTCGCTCCGAATCGTTTTATTGCAACGGTCTATCGTTGCTTTTTCAGCGTGTTATAAATAAAACCATTTAATCATTGACCTCGAAAATTATTATTGCGGCTTCTAACACCGTAACTATATAATATAGATTGAAATAAATTGCGAAAGAAAAAAAAAAATCTCCTGAGTCACCGGATTTACGTACTCGTAGGTATAAAATATACACATAGGTGGCACGCCTTTAAAATTTTTTGAACGGTTGCCAAAAAAAAATAGTTGAAAAATCGTCCTCGCGGCGCAATATTTATTGTAGTTTACGAGTATAGCTTTATCTTTTAATTCACTCATACGCAGCAAACCTTTTAATTTTCATTAAAATGTAATTTTACAAACATTTTAAACTTTCTCCCGGCATATCTAGGTTATACTTTTTTTTTTCACAACGAGCGTACAGAAAAGAAAAACTCTCGGTTATATTATACACAGATTTATTATTTCACGTGTACCTATAAATTTATAAACAAAAACACAAAAAAGCACTAAAAGATACCTTTTTTTTTTTTTATACATATAATTTACTGTTAATTCTCCCCCCCCCACCACCACTCAGGGCACATAAGAAATACGAAAAATAAATTAGATTTTGTAGGTACACTTACGTCGCGCTGAACTCGCAGGGTGGTAAAAAAATATATTGTATCAATGTAAAATAATAAAAATCCGTTTATTTTCAATTGCGAATAAAAATGCCATTTTGTATTCCGCGCGTATTGCACGAAGAAAACAAAATAATATATTATCATCAATAATAATTAATATTCAAACATATCTCAATTAATGGTACTACGTTCGAATATGAATATATTATAGAAATTAAATTTAAATGAATGTCAGTTAACATCAGTGATTTTAGTCTGTAGTTGAACGAAAATAATAATTTAAATAATATTAATATTCATTTTTGCTAGTGACGTATTGTGCAGCGTACCGGGGGATATATTTGGGCGGTTATAACCAACTGCAGCGAGTAAAACAGAGTACAATTTTCAACGTCATGTTATTTTCGTCTTAAATTTTGATTAAACAATATATATATGTATATTTATAATGGCGGCAACATGGAAACCCTTAGATTATAAAACATTTTTATTGTAATTAAACGACCCCGATGCACTTTTTCCACCGTGAAAAAAAAAACATAAATATGACGCTGTTTAAAGTATAAAATTACATTTATAACAAAAAACTACAATGTTATAAATATGAAAGTTGACCGGGGTTATTAAATATACACTTCCGAGCAAAAAAAAAAAAAAAACCGTAAAATAATAATATGCATACTCCGTTATTAAAAGTTTATAATATATTATTGAATATATAAACTCTATTTTTTATTTATCTAAGACACTCAATCATATAGGTAATAGTAGGTGTACCGGGTTGTAAATGTAACTTCACACCGTGGGCCACTGTTGTAGGCGGGAAGTTGGGTAGTGGTATTTAGAATGTATAGAAGAATTTAGCTCACATATACTGAATGCAACGATAAATCATTGCGATCATAAAACGATTTTAATTGTAGCTCGTTGGACAGTTAAGGTACTATACAGTAGTGCTGAGCACCAAATCCGATCCGGATTGGTCCAGATTGAAACAAATGTTACTATCCGTTTAATCCGGACTGTTACTTTTAATTCGGATTATGATATAAATCCGGATTATAAAGTGTTTAAAAACAATTATTATGTTATTTTTTTTCTTATCTAAATCTATTTCTAAAATTCTTTAATCATCCACAAAATGTGTTTTACTTTAAGTTACTACTTAAGTTCCTTTGGACTATTATAAGTTGAGAAACTGTGAAAAACTCAAAAAACCATGGCATGTTTGTTGTTAGGGGTCATATTACATCAAATGGATTGTCGATAGATCAGAGATCATATTCGTATTGTATAGAATCTTTGCACGCTATATATAATAATGAAAAATAGCTGTTTATCTCAAAAACAGTACAGTCGGCTTGGATCTAAAATTAAGATCTACGGATTGTATTCGAAATCCGAATTGACGATTTGGATAAAAGAATCCAGATAAACGGATTGAATTCGGATTATGAAATTGTAATCCGGATTCTCGATTGGTATTACTCGACGTATTACTCAGTACTACTTTATAGTTGCATAGTTCTTTCCTTATTATAGCCAAAACTAAAATCAATTTATGATTATTTACTGTCGTTTTTTTTTTAAATTTAAGGAAAAACCGTCGAGAATCTAGAAAAAATACATTCAAATAAAATATTACCAACCGAAATATCCTCATCTTATAAGATACGACATGAAAAGAGAAAGGTAAGATGATGGGAACGGGTGCAGCCACTGGTGTGATAGACCATTGCTAACTAAAAAACGATTCTGAGCGGAGTTCAGTTGATAGTAATGCCTTGTCAACAATATACATGACATAATTATAGTAAAATAATTAAATAAGCTTTGTATAATTTCTTTAATAAAATTTGTTTAATTTTGTACCGATTTTCAAAGTTTTCCTAGGTTTTTCCTGGTTTTCCTATGTTTTAATCTGGTTTTTTTTACATTTGCTGGAAAAACTCCAGAGAAAATTGAAAAATGACCTTTTCAAAGTACCTCCCTAGTGAAATTTTATTTTAAAAACATTACTATTATTAAAAGTTGGAGAAAAATTGCTGGTTGAAAAGTTGTACTTGGGAAAAAAAAATCATAATATTTTTGTAATATATTTCATAGTTTTTCCCGTTTTTTATTGGTTTTTTAAATTTTATGAAAAAACTCTTAAGAAAATCGAAAAATGACATAGTACTTCCCCACACCGATTTAATTTCGGGAAAGGTGCTACACTTAGAAATCCGAGCAAGTCTTCTGGTAGAAAAGTCGTTTACAGATTAAAAAAAAAAGTAAACATTTTTGTAAAGCCATAAACTTCTTTGCTCCACTCAGAATCTAAAATCGGAGCTTTTTTAACCTTGTCAAAGTAATGTTTTTAGTAAAAAAAAAAAAAAAAAACAACACATCTCAGTAAAACGAACAGCTTCTCTGCACATTCAGAATCTCAAAATTAAATGCAAAATGTACATTCAAATTTCAAACGGTATTTATCAATACAAAAACAACGGAAAGGAATAAAAAACATCGACTTGCGAAACTATAGAAAAGATCCACTATTAACAATATTATCCGTCGATTAGTACATCAACGACGGATGTACTATGGGGCAGGGGAGATACGACAAATTGTGTGTACATAATATTTCTGCACACATGCACAAATTCGTATTTCTCTACATTTTTATGACGAGCGTCTCATAATGTTTTACCTCGCTTGGGGGTTCATATCTCAAGCATATATTTTAGTAGTGATGGGCACTTCCGAACAGTTTATATTATCGACGGTTCGGATGAACTATGGAATATTGTTTTCCAAGATCGAGCGTATACTTGTATATATATATATATATAAAAAAAAAATCAACAAATATTTCCAAACAACATTCCAATAGTTTTTTCCCTGTTACCTGAATGTACACACTGTTCGCGCTGTAGAGACTATTGAACAGTTAAACTATTCGATTAGTTTTCAAACGATCTAATCGATTCGAACGTAATTAATTAATCGCTCGATAACATTCAGTTTAATGTTTAGTAAAACGTCTGAACGTGTATTGTATACATTGTATCGAGTTTGGTTCAAAACTTAAAAAACACGAAAACAATATTTATTCGTGTAGTTATCGTATGCGTACTGCATTATATATTTTGTTGTTTACGAGACGTTTAACTGCCTATATTGGAAATAATTTTGCAACCACGTTTTTATTGTACGCGCGTAAAATAACCAACGTTTATGCGATAATAATAATATGATGGTAACTATCGGAAAACTATCTAAAATGTGTAAGCCTATGTGAATCGATTGTCGTTGCAGACGGTAGAACATATTTCAACGACGGTTGACGTTAATGTTTAATATAAAATTGGTAACATTAATTTTTGTACGCGATACCATAATATAGTACAAGTATATTTATTTATTTAATGCTGCAGATTAGTTATTAATTAAAACGCCCTTTAGGCCATTATCTTATATAAATGATGATTCAAGGATAAAAACTCGCTCGACGGCACTTGTGCCGGAGTTAAACAATTTAATATTATAGGTACTGTAGGTGTATATACTTAAATAAAATAAACGAATACGATTTCGAAAAAGAGATAACGTACACTTCATATACTCTAATATTATGCAAAATGCTCGTTTTTTCTTCGAGAGAAAACATTTTTTTTTTTTCTTTACCGTGCTTTACATCGACTTACTTGCGAAGAAGAAAACATTTAAAACTTATAATCGATGTTTGACCCACTTCCCGTTGCCGGATCATCTTGCGATTTCGCATGCATTTATATTTCCGACGGCGGTACAATAATCAATAATCAGATTTTCCGTTTTCACGCGTATATTTTTATGCTACATGGCTTTTAGGGGGGAAATATCGAAATGTTGAATAACGCCCACACATACAGCTTTCCCGAAGAGGTAGAACAAAATATTTTCACCAAATATAAGACTAAGCAATTCCTTTTTTGAAGATATCTTCTGTTAGATGGGTTTTACATCTTACCAACGACGGCATGTGACAGATATAAATTATAGCTACAACGACAAGGCTTGGCTTTTAGAAGTTGTTGATGATAAAACTAAAATCCGTTTAATCGTGATAACATCGAAATTAAAATAACAGAGTACGGTAAATGATAACATACATACGTTTAAACATGGAGCTCCTTCGACAAAATATGAAATAAATAAAAAAAACAATAATAATGAGAGGAAATGCCACAATGGCGCGTGGGCCTTATCACAAGTTAATGTTATTTTATAATATATAGGGCCTCATTCAATACGCGAAAGTTATTATTTTTTATAAGTATACACTCTTAATAAAAATCAATATTATCATGATGTAGGCATATATATGTACGTGAGAAAATATTTGTATTAAAAAGACCATAGTATTATTTAATTTTTAGTTTGTTTTATAAATATGGTATTTAATCATTTTTTATTTTGGATTCTGAGCGTACAGCGAAGAATGTATTAGTTTTACTATGATGTGTTTTCATTGGGCTTGTAAATGACTTTTCCGCCAGAAATCTCGCTCCAATCAAAAAATAACAAGCGACCTATTTTGTTCAATGGTGGATGTAGTTGGTTAGTAAGAAAGTCGTTTGTTGAATTTTTGAATAGTTTTCTTAATAATTGAGTAAAACCTAGGAAAAACTTAGAAAAAACGGGAAAATTTACGAAAATAACTGTTTCATTATTTTCAATTTTGCTTTGTTCTTTTGTTATTGTAATTCTGTAAAAAATATTAGTAGAGACTTGAAATGTTGCTAAAAAACTTATATTGACTTTTTTTAGACGTTCAAAATATTCAGTCGATTTTTGAGTTATTTATAAGCGTTTTACATTTTCGAGATTTTTTAGCTTTCTTTGGTATGTACGTACGTACTATGTGGATAAAATTGTTCGATCAAACAGAAATGCCTGAAAATTTAACACGAGATTCGAAAGTTGTATTTAGTAGTGCAAAACATAGTCAAGCATAATGTATAAGAGTTTTAAGATTGAATTTTTACGATTTTCGTAAAAATTACGGTATTTGAAAACACGTATAAATGAATTTAAATTGTGTTTCGTTAGCAATGGTTTATCATTGTTTACAGATATAAATTAAATAACTTTATGTATCCTATACCTTCCTATCTAAAACAATGGCTCACCCATCAGTAGTATCAGCTCTTTTAACACCTATTTTGTTTTATCGTGTTAACGTTCCTTTAGTTTTACTACAACTGTACGTAATAATACAAATAAATAATAATACAATCTCTGTAACTCGACACTGCAGCTGCAGCAGTGTCTGTTTCTCATTATTTGAACATGGTATTATATAATACTGTAAAGGTCATCCCGGTCACCCGCGGTCCCGGCGCTGTCGCAGATAAGGTTTGTTTCGTTAGTATTGAAAATTATTACGCTTTTGAGAGTAGGTTGACTTGTTTAAGTTTTTCTGGTAAAAAAAAAAAAATGCGTAACTTATGTAAACCAAAAAAATATGCGCGTAATATACATGCGGTTGCGTCATTTTTCAGTAATATTTCCGGATTTGAACTCCGAATGTGTCACTCCGCATAAAACAGAACTTCTTTTTACAAATACCGGTTTCTACCATTGTTAAATTACATTATTAATATAAGATATTATCTGCAATATTTTAATCTATAGATATCATTATCACCATTGCCGTGATAATGGCCACTAAAAAATGGGCCGGGCACTAAACAGTTAGAAGGTTATAGTTAAATTGAAAATGTACTATATTTTTAATAACTTTAAACTTTGTCAATCAATTTAAATTCCGAAAAACTAAACGAGTTGTTTCGGATACTTGAAATGTTTTGATAAAAACAATAAGTAGGTAACTGTTTTTATTTTTCGGTTGGTATTTTTTTCAACACCTATATTTTAAACGTGATAATAATACTGATGAATACAGTATGATTTATATCTTAAATGTTTATTGCGTTTTGTACTTACAACATTCCCTATAGTAAGTAATATATTTCTGCTATTGAAAAAAAAAAAATAAAACATATTTTAGGCAAAACAGTGTTAGTAAAGTACGTTTTCTTAACATTTGATTCGGTCATATTTTTAGATTTCGGAAGGAACTTTCGGGAATGAATAAAACTAACAACCGGATTTGTTTTTTTAACTTAATTTTTTTTATTTTTGATGAAAATAACTTCCGACTTGACCGACTCGGTCACATCTTGTAAATTTAAAAAAACCAACTCCCAATCTTATATTATTGTTTTAATTAACAGTTGACTTGACTTTTATAAGTCAGACGTCTCGGGTAAATTACGCTGGAACTTTGGGGGTGGCACGAACGCGGACACGGACGAAAAATGTACGCTTTTCGTGTATTACACTATTGTCTTGAGACACGCCTTTTGTGTATGGCCGGCGACGAAAGACCGCCGCGGTCTACATAGTAGAAACGAGTGAGAGAGAAGACGAAAACTTGAAAAAAAAAAAAAAATAATAATAATAATAATAAAATAAAAATATATGCACGTATATACAACAAAACAAAACGGTCGTTTTCCAATTATTGTATTGTTGTATTCTCGGCCGAATCGACGAAACCCGTTCCTTTGGTTTGGCCCGTGTCGATCTGAAAAATACCGATCTACGTACATTTGTAACAATAATAATGTAACTTACGATATGCAACGCTGCGCAGCGTAATGGATTTTTCAGACCTCCGTGCCGCTGGAAAAACGCTGCGTTTTCGCTTTCCGGAGTTACATAACGATAACAACAATGTTATAGTCCGAAAAAATCTCGTGATAATTTTATCGCAGTGGGTCTCTGCGAATTATTACACTACGCTTACGCGTAGAAAAAAACAAAAAAAAAACCCGCCTACATTACAATCGAATTTTTCGTGCTTTTTAAAGGGCCGATTTCGGCAAAAACACACCAACCGCGATTCAATCAACCGGACAATTTAATCGACGCGGTTCCACTGACCGCGGTGTCACGTCAACCGCGATCGAAAAACTTTATTGAACGCGATTGACATCCACGTCCGCGATATGATTTTCGTAACGACGACAGTGACGCGATTACAATAGTTCACGTTGAAATATTACATTATTTCGACTAGTAGGTATTTCCAGTCGGAACAAGTGCATCAGCTAATAGTTAATTAGTTAATTATTACAAATAAATATGTACAATTGAAGCCGTTTATTTGGAACACTTTGGGACCGCAGTGAAACGTGTCAATTAACCGATTGTTTCCGATAAACGATTGGTTTTAATATACGACCGGTCCGTCCCTATACATTTTGTGTCAATAACGCGGTTGTATCAATTATCTGCGTTCCTAATAAGCGGTTTCTACCGTATATAGAAATATAAATGTAATTACTAAAAAACAAGGGAACTCGAACCTGGTTTTGATTCGTCGGATAAATCTGAATCGTCGAAATCGGTTACCGATCACTTCAGAGAGTTCGAGCGAGAGAATGATAATGAGAAAAAAAAATAAAAATAAAAATTTGAATGGTGAACAGATTATCTGAAACCTTCTGCCCTTTCTCTTACCCATTTCGGACTGTGAACGACGTCTTCTTCAAACTCTTTATAGCACGAGTAATTTTTATTATAAATGAAAAATAAACAAATAAACACGGAAAAATGAATATTCAACAATGAAAACCAACGAGACACCAAAGAAAAAAAAAAAAAAAATTGAAAAATGTCAATCGCCTATATATATATAAACAGCTCGGAAATCGTTTTGAAAATTGTACCGCGTCTAGAAAACGCTATACAACATAAAAATTCCGCGAAACCTAACTGAATTACAACAAACCCGAAAAAAAAAAACGGCACCGTAAATTTCCCCGTTTTGTCCCACGTCCATCCCGGTTTTCGTAATGGACACTGCGAGGGAAATTGAAAACCCAACGCCAGACGAAATTTCCTTTCAGAAAACCAAAAACGCACAGTACCGTGGCCCGGGTTCGTAGAGCGCGGGTTATCGATTTCTTTACGTACTACTGCAGCAGCGTATACGTGCACGTCTATGTAGGTATTTTGCGTATGTACAGCCACATTATAGCCGTTTCTGTATTGCGGCGTTGGCTATGGCGACCCAGCGTGAAAAACTGTAAAACGTTTCAAATCGTAAAAATTTGAAAAAAAAAAAAAAAAAAAACAGAAAATTGGCAGAAACTTTGATTATTACAATACACGCGCGGTGCGATATAGATATTTGTTTGTGATAAAAACGACGCGCGTTTGTGTATTATTCGTTTTTATCGGAACATCTGTAACAGATGATCTGTTTCGCAATACAATAATATAATATAATATAATAATACACATATTCTCCCGACTTCTCCTTGAAAGTGTTCATTTTACGATTTCCCGCACCTACGTAGTATCGTACACACGAATAGTATGTTCGCGACGCGTAAACAAACTTAATTCGCCTCATTTTCGCCGCGACCTCGCGGTTGTTCCAGTTTTTTTATATTTATTATAATATTTAAATTTTCTATTGAATATACACGCGCCAGGTGTACGAACGGAAAAACGGTTCGATCTCGGGGTTTTTTTTTTTTTTTTTAATTGCGCATACCCGTTACGTATAAATTATAAAAAAAAAAAAAAAAAAAAATTAGAGTTATCGTGATAAAACCGTTTATTTTCGCGTATGTACAAAATAAAATAAAAACCAACAATAATTTATACGGGCCTCGTTTAACAACGGGCAATTGGATCCGAATCGCGCAGGAAAGTGCGGTTGACTCCGCGCGTTCGGGCTGTACGATATATTATACGTATATGCGTAGGTACCGCGTTCAAAAATTAAAAAAAAAAAAAAAAAAAAAAAACGTAAACTATAATATTATTATATACGCGGTACACCGGCAGCGTAGGTGCGTAATAGAAAGAAAATGTAGAAACGGAAGCCACCCCTCCTGTTTTCGTGTGCATACTATCACTTCGTACATTTTCGAAGTAAAAAAAAAAAAAAAAAAAA